ATTCAATAGATTGGACCAAACGGGGTCAATCGTGGAAGCAAAATAATGACAAACGGATCATATTAGCTTCGGTTGGCGATAAACCAAGTGATAATTAAATTAGAATTAATTATTGTAAACCAAAGTTGGGTATGATTTATAACGTGGGAATGCCAAAAATTAGCATTGGGTCGAAAAAGATAACGCGGCCCAGCATAAAGTAGGCTAGCTGCGATGTGGGTACGAGCCCTGTAGCACAGCTGCAGGCCATTGGGCCATGGAAAGGCTGTAGGGCTTAGGGCCATGTGGTATGGGTGAGCCCAACAACAAAAGCTACTGGTTTAGGCCAAAACAAGGCCCGAGGCAAGCCTAGCTTAAAGCTAGTTTGCAGGTTGGTGCATAAGGCCCAGCCGAGGCTAGCTCCCGGGGTTTTGGGTTGGGTCAAGTCAAGCCCAACAGCATAAGCTGCAGGCAAGTCGAGCAAGACTTAGGCAAACCCAACAAGCGATACGGGCTTGTTGCAGACGAGCTTGGTGCACGGGGTGAACCTAGCAAGCTACAAGCTTGTTGCAGGTTTGGGCCAGGGACTTAGGACAAAGCTCAACAACTCAAAAGTTGCTAGTTTTGGGCTTGGAGGGGCTGCAAGCCCATGGTAACCCTTACCAGGCTGAGCCTGGTGTTTGTGTAGGCGCAACAAAGCCCAAAAGGCTGATACCATAGTCTAGACGTCACAACGACGTCTTTTTGACAGCGTGCTCCACGCGGTTGGGATGCAGGCCAACTGTGGTTGTCGGCGGTGGTGCCAGCGGCAACGCAGTGGTGAGCCCCAGCCATGCTGCATATTTCCCAATTTTATTTTTTCTTGACATCTCTAGGGTTCAAAAAATCCTAAATTGCTTCTAATTTATTTATATGCTTTGACTCTCAAATTCCACATAGCAAAATAATAATTGCGTAATGCATGAAACGGATATATATATAATGACAAATATATAAATCATATACAATATATATATATATATATCAGAAGGAAAATATAAATATAGGGGTTCATGCATAGTGGGGAATGTTTCATGCTTCGTGGGCGTTTCAAATGTCTTTTACTTTATTTTAAGCGTACATGATTGACAGAAAACAAATAAAAGCCTTTGAATTTTGTAGAAGAAAGCCACATCCTACTCTAATAAGATAATATCTACTAAAGGAAATATTACAAGATACCCCTAGATATATTAGGATTTATACAATCACATTTCTATTCTAAATATGACTGCAACAGTTTCCTGTATTCCAGTTTTTTAGTCAAAACGTTTCATGAAAACGTCATAACCCTTCACTTTGGTCTTTAACAATGAAAACTGATAGAAGTGGCCTTGAGTAAATGATTTTGTTTATTCCGTGGAAAATCTGTCAATATCCTCGTTATGTAGCTGGGTTGGTTCACAAAGTCCTAAAAAGTTTATTACATGGTCGTTCATGTGATAATTTAACAAGAACATGAATAAATTTTTCACGGAAGAACCAAAATAATTTACAGTGACCACATGAATTGATTTTCATAATGAAATACCAAATTAAGAAGTTATGTCGTTGACTGAAAAGCTTTATATATTTTTTTTGTTTCTTTTCTTTTGTGTATCGGACAATGGGAACTTTTAATTTAAATAATTTAACTTTTCTGTAAACTACAGGAAGCAAATTGCAATTAAAAAACTGGAAGAAGCACGTTTACACGCTATTTAAGTGGTAAATGCACGTTTCCACACAGTATGTTGACTTAGAATTTAGTATTTACTTTGTATGGAACAAAATTTGTCTTTCCTCTCCTTCTTTCCCTACATCTGGGAGTTCTGATGACCCTTTACTTCTCCCAGGACTCATGTTTCTGAGTTTGACGGTTTCCCACATTTTCTATTAGTACCAATCCAATTGAGCTCAGTGTTTAAAAGATCTGTATCGGTGAAAATATCGACATGTAAATTTATAAAAATATTGACAGATATATCGAATATCGATATTTGCTTTTGTTTGAAATAATAGAAATTTAAATGAAGTTTGAGAGATCGTCAAACATTAGTTTGGACGAAATATAAGAGATTTTCTATTATTATGTGTAAGAAATATCGAAAATATCTGTCGATTTTAGCATAAAGGTCATAAACTTAAGAGTTTCTTCGATATGAGCTGAAGTTTAGACTTCACCCCCAATGTTCATGTCTTTCTTTGATTTTTTGGATTTATCATGAAAATATCAACAATATATAAAAAAAATTTAAACACTGATTAAGCCAAACGTAAACTTCCAAAAAAAAAAACACTTGGGACTCGTTTGTTGGAGAGGATTGACTTGAATATGATATTCATTGTATTGAAAGTATTTTAAAGGAAGAAATGAATGTCAATTTTCTTGTTTTGTCTAAGTCAATCGTCCTTAACAAAAGGAAGTTTTGCAGTACTGCGGTGACATAAACCAAAACAAAACTCGTAGTGGGCCATTTTTTTTTTTTTGTTAATTTCTTTAACTTTTTAAATAACAAAATTTAAAAACATACTTTAAACAAAAAAGAAAAAAAAAAGTAAATAATAGCATGCAAACGAGTAAATTGTCACATACGTTTAAAACTTTTGCTTGATATGAACATTCATAGTCACCGGTTAATTGGCAATAAAAAATTGATGGCAAGCAATAGAGAGGACCTTTACAAACAAAGCAAAAACATTGAGAAAGTAATCTTATTATAGTAAAGCCGTGAAACAATACAAGTAATGTTACGGTTTAAGCTACCGACTATATAAACCAATGTGCTGCATCTGGAGAGTTTTTTCGTATACCTTGAACACAAGCCGGTACATCGCATATCATGATACAGTTGGTTTTGAGTTGGATACTAACATCTTAATGTGATATCGTTCCTACTCTCAAGTAATAGTAGTAGCTTTCATTATCGTTTTCTCCTCCTGCATTAGTTTTTTGTTTCTGTCTTTTAATTTTCTTGAATTCTCAAAACTTAAGACTAGAAATAAATTAGAACACATGTTGTGAAAAGAGAAATGCAACAATCACTTCGTTCCAACATTATATGCTTATATATAATTTAATATGTGTTATTCACGTATTAAACTGAGTAACATCACTAATATGAAACATGCTCGGGATTGAAGAACATTACTTACTTAGATGCTCAACTTTGCAAGACAAATAATAGACAATCTCCATCATCGATCCTTCCTATATGTTAGCTTGCATTTGAAGGCAACAACAAGTGGATCCAATTGCATTGCTCCAAATCGTGTCTTTCAAGGATTAGTACAAACGAACAAGATAAGAACATTTGACCGCCGCCAATGTCCCTCGGTTTTTTATAATTTTCAATTGGTAATTGACCTAATGGCACGCACCTGATTTCAAATCTTTTCTGTGTCCATGTGTTCAGCCAAAACGAACACGCCATGTGGACTTTTTCAACCCAAACCCCACAACTTATATAACACAGCACAAACCAAATTTCCATACCAAAACCCTAATTAATTTGCAATGGTTCTCTTGGTGCAAAAGTTTAACCAAATCTACTCCAAGATGGAGAATCACCACCACCCCCACAACCACCACCACCCGTCGGAACCCGCCTTATCGGCATCTCTGGATGCCTTCCAAACCCATGTTTCAAACTCCTTGAAAAAGTTGTTGCCTCTCAGTTCAACAAAATCTGCAGGGTCAGAGATTCCATCATTTCCATGGATTCAACAGTGCTTTGAGCTCCTACCCATCGTCCAAAGTGCTTTTGCAAAGCTGGTTGTGGAAGCAGATTTTCCAATGAGCAGATGGGAAGCTGCTTCTGTGGATGAGTACCTCAAATACAGTTTGAGTTTGTTGGACCTTTGCAATTCTGCCAGTTCTTCTCTGTCTAATCTTGGGAAGGCTAGGGTTTCGCTGGCTCATGGATTGAGCCTGGTGGAGAAATCGTCGCCTTCTTCGGCTTTGGAGCATCTGAAGGCAATCCAATTCCAACCAAAGGGTTTGAGCAACGGAATCAGATGCCAAGGAAATGAAGAGGTTGCGAAAGGAAGCTGCTTGATTAGCAAGGAAACAGTGGTTCATCAAGCTTTGGAGGTTATGCAGGGAATCGTATTCTGGCTAGGTGGGATTTTGATGTCTGGATTAGTTGGGAATCCCAAGCCATACTCGGAGGTGAGGAATTCTGGTGAAAGGTTTGTTGACTCGTTGCTTTCGGGGTTGAATTCGAGAGTGAGTGAAATAATGAAGAGAAATGGTGGATTGAAGGAGGTGAAGGAGCTTAATGATGCCGTGACTGGCCTTGCAGCGGCAATCGGAATTGGAAAAAACTGTGGAGCAGAAGCTGAGAAATTGAGAAGAAAATTAGAAGTTTTTGAGAAGTTTGTGGACGGTTTGGGAAAGGAGGTGGATTCCGTCTTCGACAAGGTTTTGGCCGGGAGAAATCAATTGCTCAATGGCCTTCCACAGCAAAAGAAATAGAAGACCAATTGTATAATTCACTTTGTACAGAACAATGTTGTGTTTTTATTGATTTTAGCTTGTAAATCAGAGTTTGTATATAGTAAAAATGAAGTAAAAATTCAGATTTCAAATGATCCAACCAGTATGTTTATTTCCTTTTCAATAATATATAACCCGGAACATGAAGTTTAGCCCAAAATTTTGTGAGACGATAAGAGAGATTTTGTAAGCACGGAGCAATAATTAAAACTACGAGCAATGCTAGGTAGACCAAATTTATGAGTCATCTCAATTTTTGGTACATTTCGAGGAGAATCGGCTCGCTCCAAGTTCAAGAGGTATTTCACCCTTAACCACAACTCATCCGCCGATTCTTCAACATCAGTCAGTTCCAACTTCACATAAACACAGGCCATTGTTTATGGAAATAAAGGGCTTGGTATTCTCCATAACATGGGTCCATAACTTGAACCTTTCAATTTCAAATAATGGCCGAGAGCCTGAGATTAAGAAACTTCAACAAGTACTCTAGGTGCTCTAAACGTCTTGATCCGACTATGAAAGAGGAGCTAAAACTTGCAATTTCGAAAACAGTTAACATTTTCCTTTGTTTCTTTTCTCCGACCTGAAAGAAGATACAAAACAAACTAGTAAAAACTAACTAGGACAGTTTCCTCTTCATCAGCCAAACCTTCCCAAGAAAGGATCTTCTATGACACCACATCGATGATTTGGGGGTCCTAACGATTCTACACTCTTTTACAAGTTACTGACCTTTCAAGGAAGGGTTGCTACACTACACTCTCGACTGTATCAACTTCTCTCTAGCATCTGTTGATCCTACAGAAAAGAGATCCTCATAAACAATTACAGACCTAATTGGCTCCCTGAGTCATTGGAGTTGGCTTCTCTTTCTGGAGCTTTCCTCTTCCCACAAGCATCACTTGGCAGCCTGGTAAAATTAAAACCGATGGAGTAAAAGAACAATGTTATTTTCACTTGAGAGACTTCTTACAAATCATTTTGTAAAACGAAACACTGTACGAGGAACTAAATTAATATTTTGCTTAACAGGGCTAGGGTAAATTTTGGTTGGCTCATCCTAACGAACCGTCCCCAATATTTGTTTGAGCCTATTAGTTTAGAATGTAACTTGAGCCTATGACTTTTAATCATAGACTCTTCTGCTCTTTGAAAGAAATATCAAGCACGAATATTAAGGAATGAAGAGTACCCTAGCTGCAAGGTGGTGTCAGAATCGCCGTTCTCAAATGCAAAATTACTGACCAAATCAGGACTACTTGTGACACCATGGTTTACAAGGGATTTAGTTTTCTCCACAGGATAATATTCCAAATAAGATTGTACTGCACGGTCAGTTTGTGGAAACAAACATCGAAGCTCCTCAACCTACATAGAAATGATATGCCAAAGTAGACACTGTGTAAGAGGATATCACTCAAAGGCCGGGTAACGTGAAACTGATAAAATTTACATATAGCAAGATGAATGTAACTTGCCTGTCTGCGTAACGTTTCATTCTCAAGTACAGCACGTTGTTCCTGGAGGAAACAAAATAGATGACAAGTTAAAACCAGAATTGTCCCTTTTTATGACACTAATTGAATCAACTAGTATTTGCAATCCGTACGGATGAAGATTCAAGGTCATAGTGCAACTTTTACCAAGAAGCCAAACTTCTAAACCACAACATAAGTATTGATAAATGGAAAACTTTCCAGTCAAGATTAGTCACTTTCTTCTTCTCCTGTCACCTTTTCAATTAGCAGAACGTTGTGTTTTGTCTCATTTTTATCCCTCTTTCTATTTGTCTTTTGCTTTAAATCATTGTTTGTATACTTAGATCAAAATTCAAAGAAAAATTAGCTTATTTAGAACAATAATATATTGGGTAAACTGAAACTGAAATTCTGTATCAGATATGTTTTGCAGGAATGAATATTAGTTCTTTAGAAAATTGATACTTCAACTTACTACTCAATGCTACTGCTACTGCTTACATCTCAAACTTCAAGTAAGACTCGGTGCTACTTTGGTACTTCCACATACCTGTACTCTTGATTGCTCTAGTTGCTCCGTCAGTAGTTGCTCCTGAAATATTAGAACGTGTATTTAGGCCTTACAGATTGCAGATATGAGTAGATGTTAATCTGCAATAATCTGACATCCCTGCTGAGTACCTCAAAGAAAAAAAACGAAACAAGGGAAAAATATAATTTGTACCTTCCTCTCCTTCACTGTCAGTAATCCTTCATTCAATTGCTGTTCTAGTTGCTGCAATTCTTTCAAGCTCAAATCAGTCAACTCCTTACCCAACAGCCTTCTACACAATCAGAAAATAATAATCTTACACGCAGTACTCCAAAAATATAAAGCTATTAGATCTAATAATTGAGTAAATACATACAATTGTTTCTTTTGTAGCTTTGCATATTCATCCTTTAGATTATCCAGCTCCTTGCAGTCTTGCTTCTGAATCTACAAACACGAAAAAACAATGGTTGCTGCAATTCTTCGTGAAAATGTTATGTGAGGTTCTTGCTCCAAAGGAGGTTAGCATAGTTTACATAGGAGAAACAAAAAAATTTTGAACATAGGAAAAATTGGCACAAAAGTATTTTTCACTTTGTCAAACGTACGAATAAGAGACTGACATGCAACTGGAGGACATACAAACTAACGCAGGAAGAACCAAAATAGGACAACAGATAAAAAAAATTTGTCCATGTTAAAATTTCAAGTGCTACAACGCAAAAGATCAACTAGTGGCAAGTGCATAAACTTGTGAGAACAATACCTCTGCCTTGCCTTCTTCTGGTGCATCTTCTGAAGAATCTAAACACTTGTTGTATCTTGAAAGAGTTCGCATCATACTACAAAAAGAAGAACAAATAAACATCAGCCGTGTTCTTTTTATACATGAAGAGCACAGTTAATTTCAACTTTCTTTATCGCTTCATTTGCAGCAACATTTCTAAATTGTTTCACAAGGTACACAAGATAGATGCAACCATCCACAATGAGTTTGCCCAAAATTTCCAGGAAACAAAAATATAGCAGAAATACAAACATGGCTCCGTGGAAATCCGAACCAACACCCATATTACAAATAATCAGTCAAATACGTCGGTTCATTCCTTAATTCACGTTTAAATTAAAGAGTTATTGAATGCTGGCTTATTGCCAGTGAAGCGTTTCAGATCGATTGGCCTGATAGAGGAAGGAAACACCTTCAACATAGAGTGTAGGGCATCTTTAGAGGAAAATTAAAGGGTTTCTCACAATAGCATTGCATCAGGTATTTCAACCAGGCAATAGTTTTAAAAGTAAACTTTTACCCCATTTTAGCACAATGTAGCTCGCTTGGACAAGAGAAAAGAGCATCTGGATATTCAAATCCCAAAAATAAACCACTGCCTAACTTTGGAAGATGCACAAAGGAGCAACAACCAAACATGGCAGTTTCAACTTTGAGAAGTTCAAGAGGAAGTGAAAGTGGTTTCGATTCTGCTATCGGATTTAGCACTAAATTATCCAGAGTTATTAGCTGAAATCAGCCTTTCTGATAGTTCAGAATCATCACCAGTACTAGTAGCTTACCAAGGTCCATTGCAGATTCAATTGATCAAACAATATAAAAGTTGGAGCAGACTTCACTCAAAGTCTCAAAAAAATACTTGTAAACTCAATGTTAACCAAGTTATATTCAAATATTTGCACAACCACTTCAAAATTTGCTCATAAGAAGATCAATTCAAAGGAGAAATCGCCCCAAATCAACAATTATAAGATTATAGGCAACAGGGTAAGGAAGAATATATAAGAAAAGAAAACCCAACTTCATAAGTAAAATGACCATCCCAGACATTCACACAAACCCAAATAAGAAAAAGGGAAAAGGGGAACAGGATCATCCACTAGTCCCTATTTTAAGAAAGAAAAACAAATCAACAGTAAAAATGGAAAAACCAAAACCCCAGATAAATTCATATTCAAAGACAAAATCTTTATCCAAAAAGAGTAAAACCCATCAGAGAAACATGATCAGAAACACATGCATGAACCTAAAAAATTCAGAAGAAGATGAAAAAAAATTGAAAATTTGTACCCAGAATTTAAAAAGTAAAAAGTAAAAATTCAGAAACATACCCAGCACTGGAAAATTCAAAAAGCTTTCCAGTATTGGAGAAGATAATGACAGCAACCTCAGCATCACAGAGAATAGCCAATTCCTGAGCTTTTTTGAGCAACCCAGAACGTCTCTTTGAGAATGTGACTTGTCTGCTATTTGCATTCTCAATCCTCTTGATCTCAATCTTCCCCCTTCCCATTATTTCTCTCAAACTCTCAATAACCCCTCCAACAAAAAATATATTAAAAAAACCCAAATGCTCAAAAACCCAGAAAAGCCACCAACTTTAGCAGAAAAACTTGAATACCATTTAAAATTTTCTCTCTAAAACTAAAAGTCCAAAAGAGTTGTGCGCCGTTCCGCTCTACCCCTCTTTCTCTCTCTCTCTCTCTCTTTCTCTCTCTCTAGGAGGCGTTGTTCTGAGGGTTTGGTTCTTTGGGGGAGAGAGGGTGGGGCTGAAGGGGGAAGGGGGCGTTGCCAAAATTAGATTGGGGAGAAGATAAAGGGGCGTGTGTTGGTGTGAGAGAGAAATAGAAAGAAAGCGTTTATACCCCAAATGGCGAAAGCTTGGAAACGGCAAGTTTGCATGGCTCTGTTTACTATTTAGAGAGTGGTTGCATGACTCTGTTTTCCCACATTTGGCATTCTGGGTCCCACTTTTACTTCCTAACCATTTTTTACCTATTATTTATTGTATTTCGAGTTGGAAACTGTTTAGTCGGTCTTGCTTAGGGGTCCCACTTGGCCGTTTCAAAACGGAAATAGATTGTTTCCGGATCCCTTCCACCTGAGCAAAATGAACAAAAAATCTGAATCTTTGAAATTTGATCAAACGGTTATAAACAGAAAGTCCTATTAAAAGTTATAATAATTTTAACCGTTAAATCAAATTTTAAGGATCTGGATTTTTTGCTTAGCTGACTTAGGTGGAAGGGATCCGAGGATCCCTTTCCTTTCAAAACTTCATTATGTAAGTTGTGAACTGCCGTGACAGATGCAGTTAATTTTTTTAACACTATGTTTTCAGTCCAAACTCCTCTCTCACTATAATTTTAATAATTTGGTGTAAATTATCGTATTATCTATCTGTGTGCTATAAACATGGTAGTTTAATATTTAGTGCTAGAAATAGTAAATCCTCTACCAAAATAAGAGAGAGAGGGGCATTTTGTTTTGTGTGCTTTTTTCTGTTTTGGGAGGGAGAGTGTATGCCCTCTAATGCCTTTGCTATCCAATTTGCCACATTTGTATTGTGGAGCCCACTTTGGGAATCTCTATTTGCCACATTAAGAAGTTTTTGGTTACATATTGCAACTATCCGAGTGTTACATTTAGTAAAGCCACTTCCAAATTTGGAGCATATGGGAATTGGCTAGTTTGTTTGAAAAAGCACTTTTGAATTACTTCCACTTTTAGAGAATTGGGAGTTGCCTAGTTTGTTTGTAAAAGCACTTCTCTTCTTTGCTGTAATTGTTAAATTGGGAAGGGTCTCATTACTCATTTGGCTTGCAAAAGATATTTTCCCTGAATTAAATGATTTTTTTGCTACAAAATATATTTGTGTACAAGTTTGGTTGAGGTGAAATGATTATTCAGCCTAGGTTTATTAGTTGTGATGGGGATTATCAAGCAATTCTAAAAGAGGAATCAAACACAAAACTTTTGGTATGAGGGTAATTGGGCAAATGCTCTTAAGATGAACTTTATAACGGTTAAGGTAGAGTGTGTTTAGCATTGCTTCTAGAAAAAGGATAGTGTTTTCCGACGGTTAAAAACGTTTCTAACTATGTTTGTCAGAAAGTGTTAAAAGTGTTTATACCCGGAGAAACATTTGTCAAATGCTTCTTCAAAAAGCCCTACCAAGTGCTCTTTTAGGAAGAACTTGAATGTTTTATAAGTGCTTCTTACAAAAGTAATCCCAAAAGACCCTTAGGCAAGCAAAATAAATGATTTTGTTTGTTTGCCTAATAATCAAAGTTGTTTTTACAATAAGTGATAGGGGATATGGATAAAAAAAAATTAAACTTAGAACCTTGAATGCATAAGTAAATGCTCTTAATCACTTGATCTAACTTCGACTCAATCTGAATGAGTTGACATGTCCACTCATTGCAAATTTCTATAATTTCCGTCAAATGCGATATCGATATACTAGTTGATATTTCCGTAAATTTCCATATCAATATTTATACCAATATCGATATTTTAAACACTTGCATACAATAAACAATCATCACGTAATTGAGGGAACTAAGTAAAAATGTTCCTAAAAATAAACTAATATCACAATTTATTTTGTAATTGTTCATGGTAGCTACATCAGTGTTGACTGATACAATACAAGAACTCAAAAGATGGGCCAATCAATGTGTCCATGGAGGCTTTTGTTTCATTGAGTTATTTGTTTTAGATTTTTCATGCCAACGACGATCACAATTAGCAGGTGGTACAACAATTAATCATACAAATGACGACCATAAGCATGTGAATGCTAGTATACAGGTCACGAGCTACCTTCATCGGCGTTTCACTGCACTGCAAGTAATTACTATAAGCCATCAACTGTCAATCGACTCAATCCATCAGTTGGTGGATTACTTAGCTCCCCATCGTCCTTTTTACACACATATATGAAGTGACAATCTGGATCTTCCAAAACAAAATCAGCCGGAAGTAAGCCCTTCTCAGTGATAGGAACAGGTTCCAAATCTGACTTTGTTGACGAACCACAGCCTTCAGGCGTTTGGAATCCTGGTCTGGCTGTGAAACAATAGCCAAAAGGATACAAAATCTAGATAAGGCACCTCTATCAGGAATCGTGAACACTGAACTAACAAAAAATGAAAGTACATGGCTAGAAAACAGGAAGAAACCAATTCATAGAATTATCATCTCTGTTGACTGCTTATGACTATCCAAGAAAGATCCCAGGAAAAGGTGGGTACAACGTAGTTGCGATAGTCGAAAAATAGTCAGCTTGCATGTATGCTATGCGTAAGCAACAAGTATCTGATGCTTGGACAATCTGGACTGAACTTCCCAACCAATAAACCAAAAAACGGAAAACAGAAACCAAAACAAGTTGAATAATACAACCTGCACATGGAATCTAAAGATCTTAAACTCCTAAATGACAATTTCGGAGGTCATCAGCTAGCTCCCGTTTTTGCTTTGTCAATCATATTAGCTCGTAGATTGTGAATAGCTACAAATTTCTCAAGCTGGTGAAGGAAATTAGAAACTTTCTTAACTGACACCACTTTAGATGTGGGACAACAAAAATCTTGTACCATTATACTTGAATGGATGTTCACCATGTGTTAAAATTGACTCAAACTCACTAACAAAGTAAGAACATTTGGCATCGAAAAGAAATGAAAACTGCAATTTAAACCAAAAATCTCTAGCAATTATTAAACAGAATTTAATAACATGGAAGTAAAATCACTTCTGGAGAGCTAACTGAATGAGGAAAACTGCAGATATTTGAACAGCAAGAAAAATATGAACTATTATGAAAGGACAGTAAACTTACGTATAACAAACAAACGAGCTTTCCAGTTGTACACTGGCCTGCTCAAATGAGGCATTCTTACTGTAGGATCACCATAGGTTATCTGCTATATGGCATTGTAAGAACAGATAATACATTTTGAGCTTTAAACTAAAGAAAGAGCATTGAAAAATGGTGCACATTTACCAACATATAGATCCCTCCGGGTTTAAGAAGCCTACAAGCAAAATAAAAACCATATTAGTGAAGGAATATAGAACTAAAAGATATTGAATTACTATAGAATGGAGAGCGAAATTGTGAACTGGTATAAGAAATTGCAGCTGTAAATTGAGTTTTAAAGTCTAAAACCTGCTCACTTCCCCGAGCATTTGAGCAGAACTAATTGGAGCGTCGTTGCCACACTAGAAACATAAGCACAAATGAGAAATTCAGAGTGTGCCCAGTAATGAGTAGGAGGAGTAATTAGAACATAAGAACATGCATCGTACCATCAGTGAATCAAGAGTTCCTTTGACAGACCACAGGTGCAAAAAGTGATGAAAGCAAAGAAGGTTTATCAAGACAAGACAGAAAATTAGTATACAATATTGTATAGTTCTAAAATGAGTATCACAAAGAAATAGATTCTTACCTTTATCAATGACACCATCAAATGATTCATCTGGAAAGAAACTCATATCTCTGACATCCATTTGCATGTCTATAAGATTTATATAGGAACCATGCCAAGCGTCCCCAATTGTTACTAAGGAAAATTTAAATTTGTACTAGAGATTTTAATGAAGTAAATTTTCAAAAGGATACATTTCAGCTGAGGTATGTGCTCATATTTGCTTTTCATCATGTTGATAGCCACTGACGAAATGTCAATGTTCATTATGTCTTCATATCCATCCTTGACCATGTCCTCGGACATAACTGGGAAAGAGAACATTTTTCCATCATTATCTTAGTCAACAAGTACACAGAACCATATAAAGTATCTTAATCCGATGAAATTACAGATGTCAGGTGCCTTTTGCTAGACACCGCATGATTGTTGCATCAAAAATCTTTCTCCTACGGATGGCAAGGACAATGCCACATTTAGGGACCCGAATTGCAACAGGCACATTATTACTTTCAACATCAAATTTTCTAATTAGTGGGAAAGAAAACGAGACTTCTTAACTTCTTTTTTCATTCTGGGGTCTACACAGAATGCATCCACCGCGTAATTCATATATGTATCAACCAAAACAGAAGGAAAACACAAAACGGAACCTTAATTTGGGGAATTCATACTCATGGGGTCAAATTTGAGTAGCACAATGTTCAACCAAACACTGAATGGCAATAATGACAAAAACCCAGCTCAAAACTACCAAAAAATAGCTAAAATGCAACGGGAATGATCGGAACAACTGAATTTCGGGAACCAATACTCTAACAAAAGTCTCATTCAAATAATACAAGCACAAAGATCACCCAATGACCCAAATTCCCACATCAAAAAATTATCTTTTCTGTAATTTCCTCAGAGTTTCTCAGCAACCAAACAGAGCAATTAAAGCAGAGGGTCAGAAAGGAGCTATATATATACATATAGAAAACAAAAGGGAAAGAGAATAAAAAGAGAACGAGGGAAATGGGTGGGTAGAAAAAGAGTACCGGCATTGCCGCAGCCGACCATGAGAACAGGAGAGGAGGTGGGGATGAAGTGGCGGACGAAAGGGCGGAGAGAAGAGTAGCGCTGGTACCAGTCGAAGGCTCCCCCTTCTTGGACGTAGCGGGCGTCCCAGTAGAGGGCGTCGCCATAGTTGTAGGTGTTGCAGGTCGACTCGTCCCTCAACATCTCCTTTCGCTGCCCCTGCTGCTGCTCTGATATTTCGGTGGATTTGATTAGAGTTCGGTTGTTGAACAGTCGGCGAAACGAAATGAAACTACGATAGAGAGAGGAGAGAGAGAGCGCAAAAGCCCACCACTAGGGACATTATGGCCCAAATGACCACCAATTCTATCACATTTCGAGACTGGTTACAATGGTAGATTGTCAGTGATACGAGTTTTACGCATGATTTAACTGTTGCAAAGGTCTATTATGCAAGATCTAATCGTTAATTTTTTCGATCATTCGGTGGTATTTACTACAAAACTAAAAGAAAGTAGCCCTTTTATGGACTTTTAACTGATAATTATATATTAATACAATATTGAGAACTATATAATTAAAATATCGATAATATTAATTATATAAATGATGTGGCGATAAAATAACATAATGTTCTTGTTGATATTAAATGATCCAACTAACATGGTCAAGGGTAACCCAAGTTTATTCTTTTTGTGCTGCCATGTCATCACATTGTTTTGGGTCTTTGACTGACAGCATTATTGAATTTTGTTCTCCACAGGAAGAGTAGGACTATTATGTTGAGTTGTGTTGTCACTCAAGCCACCTGACTCTTGTTGAAATATAATACCTTTATTGTGGTGTCTTGTGTTAATAATAGGGATGTAATATCCATACATTCTTCTAATTTTTGATCGTCAGATCGGATGAATTGAAAAAAATCAACGGACAGAAATTAACAAATAGTGTATGAGAAGTAAAATAAAGTGTGTGGATAACACATCTCTAATAATATAACGCCGTATGTATTTTTCATTTCATGTGACATTCCATAATTAACATAAAAATACGGTGGTTTATCATTTTATTTTTCACTTCACGTGACATTGCATGATTAACATAAAAACACAGTGGTTTACCGTTCTATAAAAATCGCGTGTGATCTTTTGGCGCTGCCTAGTGCTTCGGCAGACTCTCCGACGACCTCCTCCATGAAGGTGGATGCAGCTACCACTTCTACCTCGCCGTCGACAGATACCAGTTCAAGACGGTAAATTTCTCCGCACCCATCTGCGTAACAATGGAGTTTTTTTTGACTAATTGAAGTTTAAAGTTGTGGAAATTTAATTTGGCAGGAGACGTTGATGGACCTACTGGGCGTGGCGGGTCGGCGTCCGGGGTTGCCCATGGTGGTCTGCTGCAGCTCACGTGACGAGCTTGACGCGGTCAGGTCCGCCGTCGCCAACGTCCCTTATATCTCTTTGACTTCTCTGGTAAATTTTCAATTTTTCTTCTTGCACCCACACTTATTAGCCATTCCCTCATACAGTGTTATTGTTTGATTCAGTTCTTAAAAGCTATGTGCATGAGCAGCTGATGGTGTCGAAAGTTGTCATATACGAGGCGTGTGACAACTTGTTTGGCCGCAGGTTCTTCCTACCAACCTGTACTGCTTTGTTAGTTGCATAGTAATGGGGTTTGCTCTCTCGCGATAACTTTGTACAAATATGTGCAGATGGGAAAGTAATCAACATGGTCGTTGGGGTGAGGTAGTAACTCTCAAAAGTATTGAAGAAAGAAGCAACCTGGTCATAGCTGAGATGCCCATAAATGTGAGTTTGTCGATGCTTACGTTTCCACATTTCGTTTAGCCATCCTGTTCCTTTTTGTTTCTCTCGCATAGATGGGCACTCGTTCGATATATGGTTGATTGGATTGCAGATTTCTGAGATTTTATGAAGATATATAGTCTGCTATGCTGGCAGGACATGTTAGAGAAATGATTCCTTGTACTTAGATGTGGTGGTCGAAGACTTGTGCCGTGTGATCTGGGTTTCCCTTGAGTGGTTCCAATGGTGTTGAATTTACACTGATTTGTGATTTTGGATGAGACTTGGTTTTGTATCACCTGCCGAGTGGATTATTGACCTAATAGATAGAAGGAAATACACAGTTGGCTCCTCTTTGCATTTGAAACATCGGTAGAATCAATAATATAAACGATGTATTGATAGTACCAACGAGTCTCCCGCACTGGCGCTGACATTGTGCAAGAGTTTAAAAAGGACACAATGCCAGCGCTAGTGCGGTGGTGCAAAAAGGACTAAATGTAAGCAAAAGATCAGTCGTACTTGTACCCTGGCATGCCAAAGAAAGATACTTTTTTATACATGTGAATTGTTTCGTTCACTGCCTTTCAGCGAAAGGATTGTTTCGTTTGTATAACAGTGAGAACAGAAATGAAATCAATATCCACACAAACAATCATGTAACTTAAGTAATCCACCGCACGCACTACTCTCGGATCTTTTGAATTCCAATCCAACGTGCATAATCGACCCACCTGTTGCACAATACAAAAATTATGAGAATTTGAAGAGAGGAAACACAACGAATGAATACAATGACATTCGAGGAGAACTCTGATCGTACATCAAGGAACCCAAGAACGTGTTGCCAGTTCGAACAGCAAAGCAAATTGCACTCAGTATAAGCTTGTGCTGGTGCAGCAAGGGTTCCAGAAGTCGCTGTTCAATTACTCCCGCGAGAACTTGGTACCTTTGAAAGAAATCGAAAAACATAAAATTTGGTACGTAAAGCTAAACAAATGGTAAGCAAAAAGATTTCTTGCTTCAAGGTGTCTTCTGTCCATCTAGCCTAACTCTTATTTACGCTTATGCAGGTCCTTACTTTGCTACAGAGCTTGTATGTACTGTTGGAAAAACTAAGCTACGATGAATTTCCAGAATTCTTCGAACACATTACTAACCAGAGTTCAGACACATAAACAAGAACGTGCATCTTCAATATGCGAGTTGAGGAGTTAAAGCTACTCAGCTTTTCTTTTTAAGGCATATTTATAGCATGTGTCCTTTCACAAAATTGCTGTTGAAAGAACTTTATGAACTGTTTCTTCCGTCTACCTAGAAATGCCACAAATGGTTTTTTTTTTTTTTTTTTTTTTTTGGGACAGATCCGATTCTCCGTGATTATGACAGTTACAATTTAAAGTCTTTCTCTACGCATTTGGTCTAAATTTTTTTGTTAATGGCCTACGCTAACAGTTCGTGAAGGTTAGAGTAAAAATGATAAAAAGAAAACTTCAATCTGCAAATAGCCCTTGTACCTTAGATTGCTAGAAACTGCCATATAAACTCCATAGGCTACACTGGTTGATAATATGGGAACATCCTCAGCTTCACCAGCAAAGGATTTATCGAGAGCTTTTCGTGCATTAATCAATGCATTTGTTACACCCGTACCAACCTGAAACAATTTTCATTAAAAATTGTTATCCATCGTATGACACCAAACGGCTACTAACAGTTTCAACTATATAACAAAGTGGAATAAGAGAAGAGAAATAAAATTCGAAGAAGACTTCATATGTACATTTTACAATGAAAACTATAATATGGGACCAAAACAATCTCGTAATGTACCAAAAACTACCATCTCTTTCTCTGAATGCGTATAATATTGCAGACAGAAATTGAAAAATGAAAGTAACTTTCGATAACAATAAAGCACACTAGAGCCTCAGAATGGCGAATAAATTTATAAGACTGGTTGGACCGTCGAAGAAGCTTGTGCCTTTGTAAATTATTTGAAGAAAAAGAATTTGCATCTTTACCATTCTTTGATGCTGATACAACATTAAACTCAATGGAGTTCGATACAACGTTAAACTCAGTGGAGTTCTACCAATGGCTTAATTTAAGTTTGCCACAATCGAGTCCTAATTAGATTTAAATTTAGACGAGCAAAGTTCAAACAACCAGTGGTAAAGAAAGAAAATTTTGATAGACATATACTGCATAAGTATCCGGCATGTTTAGTACAAAATGCTAGTAGAGTTAGCATACATGCCGAACAAAAGCTGATATAGTTTTTCCTGCATAGCATGATGCTAATAACTACAGGGGCTTAAAAAAGTATGAAAAGTATTTGGCGATTGCTGAAAATTCCATTGTTTTCAAACAAGATAGAACAAATATCAAGTAACTTATGGCAAGTTTTGCCCAGCCTTGAGGTTTTGTAATGTCACACCAAAAAGTTCATGATAAAATGGAAAAAGGAGAGGAGAGCCACAATGTTTTACATTGCGTTGATGTTACAGATAATTCTCAGAAAAGCTAAAGCTAAGGCATTTCAAAACATGTAAGGTGTTTCACTTACCAGAGATGCACCAGTCCCAACTGCAAATAGTTTAGCTCCATTTCTCTGAAACAATCAAAATACTATAAACTCCAATCACCATGAACGTAAAGACTGAATAATTTTAGATCACAGAACACAACATCACATACCACTATTGCACCTATTCTCTGTAAGAGTGAGTAAGATGTTCCAGACAAAGCTACCTGCAGACAGGATTGATGCCTTCCATGGTGTTATACTCATGAGAAAGTGGCAACTTGAAAAAGCCAAAAGTAATGAAACAAGCAAGAACCTGGAAAGCATTATCCGGACACCCATAGAAGAACTTAGCAATACGGCCTGCGCTGACAGCAAGAGGTGGTCGAAGCGAAACAGTAGGAGCGGGAAGCCAGACAAGCATAAAATCAGCTATGATGGCCATCACCTAAGATTTAAAAGGAAAAGAAAAAAAATCTATTTTAAGGGTCAGGCTGCAAAAAGGTGGAACAAACCAAAAACAGAAACACTACCAGAAAAAGAAGAAAGAACAAATAGCGTGAAATTGGTAACCAAAAGACTTCTGCTAGAAAGTTGAAGGATCGCCGCAGAGCTTTTGCACTATAAGCAACTCACAGCTTGACATATATTACAACTTATGACTAAAAATGGAAAACTTCCTTTGAGATAAATAAGCCTTCTGAAAGTGTAGTCAAGTAGTCAAACAATCGGATAATGTAAACGAAGAACATTTTACCAGGTCCAACTAGCAAAACCACAAATTAAATAATAAGTCATCTCTGCATGTTCGAACTCAACTTCATAAAACAAAGTTGATTATTCCATGGAAAACCCTTTAGCACAGTTATCAGGTAGAGGCCAACTAAGAAACGCGAAACCTATTGATTGAAAAAGCAGAAGGACAAGAAGAAAATAGAAAAGAAGAGTAAATATTACCAAATACATGAACATGAATCAATGATTCTGTATTTGGAAGCGCACAAATTGCACATAAGGTTGCTACCAAGAGTTCGTATTGAGCACAAAACGAACAAATATAGTTTTCTGCATCCATTCCATTTCATGATCCAAAATAAAGACCATGCTTGACCGAAAGGCAGAATGTCCTAGTTCAACTTATTTATTTCTAACTTTATATCGTATGGCATATCCTGGATTCCACCAAAGCGTTTCAGAAGATTACACTGTTGCGCTAATTTAACAAACGCCACTTATATAAACTGCTCATCTATGAAGCAGATGGAAATTACTTTGATTTGAGATGATAGCTTTTCATTATATAGCACAATGAAATCAAATCTCTTATTTATACAAGAGACATACCACATCAGCAAAAACAAAATCCAGCTCTTTGGTAAAATTTTCTCGGCGCCGCTCCAATTCTGCAGCAGTCTGAAAAATGAGTAACATGTAAAGAGCTTACATCCATACTAAGAGACACTTCAAATGGTACTTCAATTCAAAAGTCAAGGATATCCAATGGATAATAGAGACGCCAACTCTGTTGGCGGCGAATGACTTACATGGAACAGGTGCACATGGAGTCCTTGTCCAATAATCCATTGTCATGTGTAAGCTTTTCTCCACATGACAATGAATTATTGGGCAGAATGCCATGTGACGGTGAACTCGTTCTATATAAGTTGCTCTCATGTTGAGGCGTCAAATAAGAACGGTTGATGCCACAATACGGTCAAGATTTCTTCTTCTAAAAAATTTAAGAAATTTGACCGTTATATTTTTTTGGCGTCAACAAGAATAATCACATGCAAGTTTGATCAACAAATTTCTATTACGAAGACCGCTGCTACACTTAGCAAAATTGTTCATCGAATTTCATCAGGATTAGTTCCAAAAACACTCCCATAAAAAACGCTTTCAGTCATTTAAAAAATCTTCGTATCGAGCCTTAAAAATAAAAAGAAGAGAGTAAATGAAAAGCAGAGACCTTAGTGAATATTCCAACGCCGCACTCGATGCCAACTTTAGTCAAGAACAAGTCGTCCGCAAGCAACCGCTCCTTGAACCCATCAAACCCAAGCAACCATCTGAACACCGCCGACTTCTCCAGCTCAAAGAACCTCTTCACAATCAAGCCCGGCACCCGCCCGGCATTTATGGCCGCCGCTAAGTCCTTTGGCAGACTCTCCGACGACCTCCCCGCCTCCGCCATTGCCGCCAGGGCCTCCGCCTTGTTCCGATCCCGGTCCTCATCACCATCACCACTCCCATCACTGTCATCGTTATCATTACCTCCGCTTCCGCCGTCTCCGCCTCCTCCTGCGGGGGGTTCACCACCGTATGCGGCGGAGGCGAGGCGGGATCGGGTGAGGCGGGAGGCTGTGAGTCGGAGGGAGGGAGTTGCGGTGATGTTAGTGCGGGCGACGATGGTGAGAGTGAAGTTTTTTGGGGATAAAGAGAAATGGTGGGGGTTGGTTGGTGAAGGGAGAAACTGAGAGTGAAAGGTGGCGAAGTTGGAGATGGTGGTGACTGCTGCCATTGTTGGTTGTTTGCTTTACTTTCAGTATCTCCCGCTCTCTCTGTCTATCTCTCCTCTTTGAAGGAGTAGAGAGAGAATGGGAGAACCAGAAAGAAAGACTGTTCAGAAAAAAAGGGTTGGTGGGGTTTTGGCTGGGGGAGGACTGGTCTTGGTCTTCTTCCTTCTTTCTTTCTTTATTTTTTTATTTTTTTTAAACCTTCTTTCTTTCTTTATTTTTTTGGTTTTGAAGAAACGATTTGAATGGGGTTTTTTGTGGACAGAATCAATTGGGGAGTCAAATAAATTTGTGGGAAAATGAATAACTGAAAGGTCATGTCTTTGTTTCTTTCTACGGTCTGTCTTTTAGCATTGACAGTAGTTGGAGTCAGTAGCAGTAGCCGAGCAAGCATAGAATCATTGGTTGTTTTTCACTCTAACAATTTTAAAAATTTAATGTATATTTATTTGTATATTGTATTTAATATTTATAAACAGTTAAGGCAATTATAATCTCCTCCTTCTACTTTTTCGATTTTCTCCTGCCATTTTATGTCGGCATAAATTTTTGGCATATGTTGATAGGGATTGAAAAGTTCCTAGTAGATGATCGACGAAAGGACCGAATAAAGTTTTTTTATTAATATTATGATATTCTTATTTGAAAATCATGTATTCCTCACTGACTATACTATTATAAGTTTAATATATTAATATAACACTCTTTAGTTTAATATTACACTCATGAGTTAAAAATCATTCTATTGGATGAGAGTGCAAACACATTTTTAGCCATTTAGTACTATAGTGTAATAGTATTTCCTTTCATCTGTAAATAAGAGATCTTAGATTTGATTCTCGTCTTCTCACTTACACTTACAAATGAAAAGAAATATCATTAGACCATAGTACTAAATGACATTGACTCATGAGTACAATATATTAGTATCGCATTCAAATTTTTTAGCCTATTATAAAAATGTGATTCTTATATGAATTTTTAATATGCTAGTACTATACTCACTTTTTCTAACTATGGAAGGCATGTTATATTATTACGTTCCTAACACGCCCAACATCCCTAATTCACAAAATATGATTAAAAATCATGTCTCTCTAACATTTTCTTATGAGTAAAGCTATTTATATCATATTTTTGTATTATATTTTCATACCATGTTAGGTGGTATTTGATGTGGACAGCCACATCATTTGAATTAATCATATTTTTAAATTTAGTTCATTATTTAATAAACTAATAATTAAGAAAAACTCGTTAATTAAATAATGATTGTAGTATACGAGGAGTTTTTTCTCTTTCATTTATTTGAATTTTGCAAATTTTTCAAATAATATGGGTGTGCACATCAAATATTACTTAAGGCGATATAAAAATGTAGTATAAAATCATGAATAGCTAAACTCTTTTCCAATTCGTTATTGTGATTTACTATCGCTGATGGTAACTATGGTCGTATCATATCATCCACAAGGTCCATGGCAGACAATGATAGCCAGCTCTTATCTCCAACATAAACGGATAGGTAGAGCAATTGCGCAAAATCCTTTATTTGCAGAGAGCTCCAACAATGGCTACAAGCACCACGCCCTCGTCCCTCATGCTAACGTACGCCTCCTCGTACGCGCACCCACATGACCTCACTCCCTCTCTCGTCTCCTTCCAGCCCAAGCCGCTCTTCAAAACCTTCTGCCTCTGCCCGCTCGCTCTAAGGCCTCGAGAGAGAGAACCAAGCAAATGGGCCAATTCCGAGCCTCAACGAGTGGCCGCGGCGGCTCTTACGGCAGAGGCGGAGGTGGAGGAGGATGTGGACGAGAAGGAAGGAGTGAAAGGATGGTGATGGGTCTGTTGCTGTTTCTGTTCCTTCAAAGCCCAAGAAAGGGAAGGCTGCATTGCTTTTGAAGAGAGACAGAGTGAGTCTTTTTCTGGTTTTCTTCTGCAAGTTCTTATTTTTCATTGTTTTGAGGGTGAAATTTGATTTTTTGGGTTATCTCGTTGGTGGGTTTTGCTTGCTTTTGGTTTTGATTTCGGTTCTGGGATTCAAATTTCATGTATTGCTCTTACATTTAGTTTTTCTTTTGTAGATTATCAGTGAGTTCAGCGAATACTTGTTTGTTATGGTTCTTTAAATTCTAAAAGTCAAGGATTTGATTTGAGTAATTAAGGTCACTTCGTTATCTCGGAGAAGAGACTGGTTCTGCAAAATTTGATATTTACATCCTTAAAGTTTGACGGATTTTCCATGTTTTGGATTGCAGAATGCCCCGAAGTTGTGTTTGATAATTTGGTTCTGGTTTATTTTTGTGTTTATCATTTATGTTGTTAGATATATTCCTGCAATGTCCTAGTTTTACGTTGTTCCAAGATTTCGGTAGTGATTCAAGCGTTCAATTGTCTTCTGTTTAAAATGTCAGACAAGGTCCAAAAGGTTCTTGGAAATTCAGAAACTGAGGGAAACCAAAAAAGAGTATGAGCTGCAGCCAGCAATCGCTTTGCTGAAAGAAATGACGAGTACGAAATTTGTAGAAACTGCTGAAGCCCATTTCCGCCTCAACATTGATCCAAAATATAATGACCAACAACTAAGGGCAACTGTGAGTTTTCTGATCTTGTCGGTCAGAGATATGTTTAGTCTTATCAATGCTTAGCACTACATTATATTCGTTCATTTATTGTGGAATTCTTCTACTAGGTAAACCTGCCCAAGGGAACTGGACAGACTGTTAAAGTGGCTGTTCTTACTCAAGGTAGTTCCGATTCTCAATTTCTCACCTCTGTATACAAAGAAATTATATCTGTCATTATATGAGCTAAGGAGATGTAAAATTAAACCACGTATTTGAACTGAGTGGATACAAGTTGGAAATTTTAACCTAGAGAATAAAAAGTAGAGGACTGTATGTATGCCTGCAATTTCGGCATTTGCATGTAGTAGGCAGGTGGCCATTAGTCTTGAACTGTTATCTGAATTCTCTATAGGTAAATTGTTTGCCAATTAAGCCTAAAAGGAGAAAACAAGTAACACCTTCACTGAATGGGGTTTTGTTCTCTCATTCTTTTACCTTGGTTGGAAAAACAGAAAAAAGAATGCTTGCATGGCTCAAGTGGGTTTTTATTTTCTGTCAAGGGGACTTCTTTTTTTTTATTTTTTATTTTTTTTGTTTTCTTTTTCAAATGATTTAGTTAAAGGGTTTAGTATCAGACTTCAAATTGGATCAGAGCATTATCTTTTCTTTTGTAAGGTGTAGTCTGAATATATATTTTTGTTCACATTTTTTTTTCCTGATGAAAAGGTAATCTTTTGGTCATTTGGGTCCAAAAGTGGTTAAACTTATGTAAGTTTTAGGAATTGTAAGATTTTCTTAACTCTTTTTGAGAACAAATGGAAGTAGTCATAAATGGAGCACGTTGTTTTATTTTTTTTTAGTCTTGATATTTTGTTACTTAGGTTGTGGGAGATGTATCACTGGCTTGATTTAGCTTGTATATACAGAATTCCAGATATATGTTCTCTAGATTTAAGCTAGTATGAAAAATGTGCTGTATCTAATAAATTTGTACCTTCGGTATTTATTGGTTGCTCTCAATAGACATATTGTAGTATGTTTGAATGTCTTCTACTTTTCCAAAAAAGTGAAATATTCTGGTTCTCATGTTTTCCCTTTCATAATGTGCACACATATTCATGTTCTTTAAGCTTCTTGGCATTGTGCACAAGTTATCTTAAGGTTTTGGTTTCATAGTATTTCATGTCACGTATTATCTTCTTCAATATCTGCAGGTGAGAGGTTTGATGAAGCAAAAAATGCTGGAGCAGATTTGGTTGGTGGAGATGATTTGATACAACAGATAAAAGAAGGATTCATGGACTTTGACAAGCTAATTGCTTCACCGGATATGATGCCTAAGGTGCTGCCTTCATTATCTTGTTCAATTAAATTAGTGTAGTGTACTGTGAAGTATGTTAGTTATTTTCATTTTCTAAAGCATCTGTAGAAGTAAATAATTAATTTGGGTCAAATCTGAAATGCTATGTTCTTTGTTTGGTTTTTGGTTGAAATAGGGTCATATGATTGAAATGAGAAAAAAGTAGTTTTGCAGCAGGAAATAACTTGTCAGCTTCATAGTAGTTTGACTGTAAATCCTGATGTGCATGATGGGATGCGGATGATTATTCTTTGGTTGATACGGTAAAGTCCTTGTTATTCATAAGTGAAATTAAGAACAAAGAAATTGCATCAATATACATCTCATAATGAGACGCCGCCCACCAAGACTAAATAATTATAATTAGAATGTAAAAACAGTAGGTGCTGCCCGGTTTTCCTTGTGACTTGTTTATATGGCGTTAAAATAGTGACTCAAGTTAGACTGAATTTTCGGGTCTGCTTCAATGATTCTACCAGCTTACTTTTTTAACTTTCACATAGTATGAGAGGCATTGTTCTTTAACGTGAGGCAATTCACAGTTTCATTTTTGTATCTGTTGCTTCTGTGGTTTTAATTGGGCGGAAATTATGATCTCAGTAATTTTACATCATTTTGTCTTTGTTACTATTCTCAGGTTGCTAGCCTAGGAAAGATTCTAGGACCACGAGGGCTCATGCCAAATCCGAAAGCTGGTACCTGTCACGCCTAATATACCACAGGTATGGTTTGTTTTGCGACATTTTTGTTTCCTTTCTGCACTTGTGTGAATATGCTTTCTTACCCTAAACCCTTAATCTTAGCTATTGTTTTAGTTCTTTCCTGATGCCTTAATGTATACACATAATATGCATCTGTACGTCTGGTACAGTAAGAATAATGAAATGAGGAAATCCGTAAGAAGAAAAAACTGAGACACTGACACACATACGAGGGTATAATATTCACATGAATACAATGAATTACAATGAATACGATGAGGGCAAATGAAAAGAAATATAGTTGACACAACCTACGGTGATCATCCGTGGTAGTACAGGAATGGATTTACATGTGGCAGGGCATCAGTACAGGGAATTTGATTTCTTAGCCTACTTCATATACTGTTTCAGGCCATAGCAGAATTCAAGCAGGGGAAAGTTGAATATAGAGCAGATAAAACTGGTATAGTTCATTTGCGGTTTGGAAAAGCCGACTTTCCTGAAGAAGACCTTCTCGTGAACTTGCTAGCAGCAGTTGTACGTTCTTCACT